AACCGGCTGAATCCCACCACTGATGTATACGTAGTCAAGGGCAAAGAAGAATGTCAATAAATTAGCCTGCCCCCATCTTGGCTAGCCGCAGGGTCTGTTTCCAACACCTAGTTCCTGAGGTGGATGAGGAGGGGCCCTGTCTTCACGTCTGAGGGTGGACGATGGCCTTCAGACCCCTGGCTCCATCACCCTTTCCGGGCTGCTACCTGAGAGCCAGCCAGGCTGAAAGGCTCCGCTCTCTTTGTTCAGAAGGAAGGTCCACAAGAAGAAGTCGGCTGAGAAGGCAGCACACACGAATGACGTCCATCCTGCGTTGGGTACCTCCTCCCAGGTGAGTGATGCGAGCATCCTTTCATCCAGGTTCTCAGAAGGACATCTCCTTGGGGATGGTCCCCAAGAGCTCACTCAATATGTCCAGGACTGAGCTCCACTGGTCCTTCCCCCTCCCCAAATCCATTCCTCATGCTGGGTTTCTCCCTGCCTCGCCCTCTCCTCCATCTCCCAGAGCCAGTAATTTACCCAGCAGGTAGCTGTTGTGTGGTCCCCATCCCCTATCAATCCCGTGGTAGAATAAGGCCCCATACGACTGTCAGAGGGAGATTTGTAGGGGGAGCAGGTCAGCAGACCTTTCTTCTGGCCGGGGTGGGAGGGAGGTGGCTTGAGCCTCAATCTTTCAGCTAGCACTCAAGAACATTAGCTGTCCCTTCCGTGGATATTCAAGAGTAGAAAGCTTCATCTTTCCCCCTGAGAGTAGCTGGTGGTTCAGAACTAACTAACAGGCCTTGCAGTTAGTCCCCAGCACTCCCATAACAATAGCAACACAGAACCATTGTCTCACTGCCATGGAGTCGATGCTGACTCACAGCCACCCTGTGGGACAGGCTAGAACTGCCCCCACGGGTTGGTGGGAGTAGAAAGCCTGTCTGTCTCCAGAGAAAAACCTGGTGGTTTTGAACTATTAGCAGCCAAATCCATAACTACTGTGTGACCAGAGCTCCCAGAGGCCATTAGAGCAGTGGTTCTCAACCTGTGGGTCACCACCCGTTTGGGGTTCAAACAACCCTTTCACAGGGGTTGCCAGATTCATAACAGTAGCAACATTTACAGTGATGAAGTAGCAATGAAAGTAAATTTATGGTTGGGCGGGACCACCACATGAGGAGCTGTAGGAAGGCTGAGAACCACTGAATTAGAGGAAGCAAAATTTGTCAAAGTTACAGAGAAATGAGTGAGTCCTCAGGAATATGTGTGCAATAAATGCATACATACATGTCCATCCTTCCAAAGTCCCCTTGAAGATCCTTGTTTCCTTCTTCAGTCGTGTCTGCTCTTAATGCCCTGTCACCCCACTCAGGGTCATCTGTATGAATCCCGGTCAGGAAGCCCCACAGATCACCCAAGCCCAGCCGCAGCAGCCCCTGCCTCGAAGGAGGAACAGGAGCTCCACTACGCCTCTGTCACCTTCCAAGAGCCGCAGTCCTGGAGCTCACAACACGTCAAGGCACAGGAGACCCCCAACACCACCGAGTACTCAGAGATCAGACTCGCCAAGTGAGGGCTTGTGGAGAGCCCCCGTGAGAGCATTCCTGATGGACATGTGCCTCAGGGACAGATCCCTGCCATCCAGGCCAAGGACG